TACAGAAGGACGGTCAGGTCAAAGTTCAACAGATCCGGTCAAGTGAGAATTCAGCCGACCTATTCACCAAATCATTGCCGACTTCAACGTTCCGGAAGCTCATTCATCAGATCGGGATGCGCGGACTTAAGGATCTACAGTGATGCTCAAATCAGGGGGAGTAATGCGTGTTGTACTCTTTTTCCTTCACCATGGTTTTGTCCCACTGGGTTTTCCTGGTAAGGTTTTAATGAGGCAACATTCCCCAGCGCATTATAGAGATCCCGGTTTAGTATCGGGCACGGTTATGTCTTCCAAGGGGGAGTGTTATAAACCATATAGATGGACTCCATAACCGGTCCATGGCCCATTAGAGTTTTACCTTATTCTCTGTATCCTGCTATTATCCTTGTATATATATTCCCTATCCTATTAATGAAAAACACAGTTCACAACAATATTTTTATTGTTGCTTATGATAAAAAAATTCAGGTTCCAAGTCGAATTTGCTACTTATGATGCGATGCCACATGCTTGTACTTAGAATTCCATAGTTTTAGTAGACTTTATACCGCATTGACTTTTGCAATGATATATGATTTTTTAACGTTATTAGTAGTAAGAATATTGTTTTTAACCAAAAAAAAAAACAGATTGGATACATATTTTGACAATCTACACAATCGGAAATAGGTTATATGGAGTTGCACACTTCATCATTTGAGTACACACTTATTCACACAGAAAACCATACATTTTATTTGTTTCACACCAACTAAAGATTCCAAAATAAAATAAAATAAAAACTGTGTTTTATGGTCTTAGGGAGAGTTGTAAGAAGCGGGAGCTGTTCTTGGAGGACGTTTGCAAGGTCTGCGATTCCTCTTCCATGATGCATGGGAAGCTCCACATGATGTCATGATCTAGATGCCGGAGTCCACACAATGGGCCTTCCGTTTGCTGCGACATCAAGTGCACAAATCGAATAGGTGAAAAAATCAACAATGATTTTGAGGTGAAAAAATCATCATCAATGACTCCTATTCTAATTTCTGCTTTCAGAATATAAATTTTTGCGATCCGATGATTGTGAGGTGATCAAATTATAAGAGTCTTAAGGATAAGTACTTACCAAGTTTGCGGCTTGTAGCCTCGACGACTCTAATTTGAGAGGAAAGAGTGAAAATCAGAATGAGAAGAGATAAGAGAAGAGCAACCATATGTGATGATGTCTTTGAACCCATTTTATTTTCTCGTCAGGATTTGATTTGATCTGATCTCTATTGACCAACATATATAGACCAAGGCCGATTTAATTATGTTTCTTTTTGCTATTACAAAAAAAAAAAACATATTTTAAGAACATAACGCGGTTTCTACGTACATTATCTGTAAGATTGTTTTAAAAATTATATGAGTACACGTTTGATTGCTCCACAAGATTGATTTTTTTTACTAATCTATTAGAAAAGCAACATATGACTTTCTCGCCATTATCTATTAGACTATTACTCGAATATAACAATAGTCATGACCAAGCGACTGAAGTGTGAATACATAATTTCATATGCTTGACCTGACTTTAGTACCTTAATATTAGTCTCACTATCCACGATCATAGTATATGTCAGCATTACTAAAATCATTTTTTTCTTTTTCTTAGTGCACAACAACTAATGTCTTTTTACTTTAACTATCTCAGTTTTTTTTCTAAGTCTAACCCTCACACTAAATGCTTTTGATTTGATCCTATTGCAAATGACAGATTTTCCATATAAACGAATTATCTAACCACGATATAACATATATAAATCAATACTTGCTAAATAAATATAATTCGGTCTCAACAAGTTTTTCGAACTAACTAGTTAATATATCAATAAATTAATCTCTATGAATTATAAAAATAGCATACCACATCCAACACATATTATTACGAACGATTTCACTTACACATATACGTTCACGATTGGCGATTCTATTAATATTACAGTCACGATAGACATTTTAATCGTAGAACACAAAATGGTTACAGAACATTCAACATAGAATACGTCGGAATATGTGCTAAAGGTTGCATCCATATATATACTTAAACCTAATACATTCCCTAGAAGTCAAATCCAAAATCTGATGTAAAAACGCTAGAGGCTTAACCAACCACTGATCAAAAGGATTCAACAACTATTTAATATTAGGATCAATAGTATTATGTGTAGTTTTTAATCAAACACACAATAGTTTTTGTTTACATCATATGATAGGAGCAAATGTTTTTAGATTTGTAAACCAAATCTTAAAACCACATACACTTTATTATTGCATAGAACTTGAAAACTCTTACACAAAGACACAGACGCACATAGTTAAGGTGATTCATTAGAAGCAGGAATATAACTTCCTGGAGGAAGCCTGCATGGTCGGGGTCTCCTCCACTTCCAAGTGAATACTGCTGGAGAAGTTCCACATGACCTTGAAGGTGGTGTGTACACGATAGGCGTTCCCGAAAACCCCCACGCTGACATATTAAAGTTCAAAACTAAACTAAGCGAGATTTTTTATTTACTTTGAAGGAAAAATCGATTTTGAACTCGTTCTTTTCACAACTTTACTTAGAAATTGTTGATGTAATGTAAGGATGAATTTATATCTTGCCATACACTCTTTCCATTTTCGCATCAAAAATGATATACACAAGAAAACATAAAAGAGATAGGGCAAGAGATATAGTTTATTTGTTGTAAAGAAACTTACACAGTTTGCGGCCTGTACATTCCACGACTTCAAGCTGAGAGGAAAGAGTGAAAAGTATAAGAAGCAGTGTTAACAAAAGTGCAGAAATATTTGTAGACTTCGAACCCATTTCTCTTTCGTTGCGTTTTTTTTTCATCGCAAGTTTGTGATATATATATAGAAGGCCTAACGGTTAGGCCCTAACCTCATATTTTTTGTTTCCCTATTTAGTTTTCTTGTTTTTTTTTCTTTTTTTTGAATACATGGAGGTTATGGGACAAAGCCCGTAATCCCCCAGCCCCGTAACCTCATATTTTTGGTCCAGATTTGGTCATGCCCAAATTCGAAACGGTCAATATGGGCTAGAAGCCCATTTAGTCTACAAACAAATGGGCCGAACTCATCTGGACATGGGCCGTCCAATAAGCCTTAAAAATTAGGGTTACTAATTTGGATTAAATTTTTTTTTTCTTTATTTGTTTTAAAAATAGGATTTACACTGACATTTTCACTCAAAAAAATAATTTTACAGTTTTGGCGGAAAATGCAATTTTACGATTTGGCGGAAAAATGCAATTCTTCGATTTGGAGAAAAAAAGTGTTTTTGCGGTTTTGGCGGGAAATAGAAAATCATATTATTTGGGCCTCATGGTCTTATTTGGATTTGGACTTAATTAGACACGGTCCTATTTGGGTTTATACTATCATGGTCCTATTTGGTGTTGGTCCCATTTGAACCTCGACAGCCCAATTGACATCCCTAGCCTAACCTCATATTTTTGGTTTCCCTATTTAGTTTTCTTGTTTTTTATTTTTTTTGAATACCTGGAGGTTGTGGGACAAAGCCCGTAATCCCCAGCTCCGAAACCACATCATGTAATATTAGTTTCGTCCCAAGCGTCACTCGAACCGGCGACTTTTAAACTTCGCCTATGGTCTTTACCGATTGAACTAACAACACTTGATATTTAGTTTTTCTTGTTAACTAGCTTTATTTCAAAGTTTTACTTGTGAACGCGGTTTCTATATGACCTACAAACCTAAAATATTCCTTCTTGTTGTTGATTTACAAATTTGAATTTTAAGAGATAAGTCTTTGTCCGTTGTTTTGGAAAAATTTAAATACGACTTCCTTGCCATTTCATATTAATCGAAAAGAATATATTAAGTGGAGTTGACTATTAGTGTACGTTGACTTAAAAAGAAGAAAGTAACAACGACTTGAAACTTTATTTTCAGTGTCATTTGAGATTGCTTGATTTAAGATGAACCGCAGATGACTTTGACTTATGTTGAAAGCAAATAACAAAGACTCCATCGCACTTTGCCACTATCAATGATCGTTGAATTGGTCATCTAAGCTTTTTTAGTTTTTTCCTTTTAACTTCGCTTCTTACTGAGGTCCATGTTCGTTTGCCTGTCGTTTGATTCAGCGGCAGCGACCAACGACAGCAATCAGCGATCAGGGACATCATGTATTATTCGTTTGCTTATCGCTGGCGACTGTTTCTGTGTTGTTCGTTTGACTGTCGTTTTAAACAGTCGCTATATTTGTAAATTTTTAAATTAATATTTATGATAATTTATATTAAAAAAAAAAATTTATATAGAAAAATTGTCTCTTATAGTCCCAAATTAAGTTTTTGGGACAAAAATAGCACCTTATTTTTGATTTTTTAAATTAATACATAATTATAAATAAATATAAAAATCACAAATTCATCGTTAATATTTTCCCGCCAAAACAAAATCCCGTCAAAATTTTCTCGCCAAAATAATTTCCATAAAAATTTTCTGCCAAAATAATTTCCGGTCCCGGAAAAAAAAATCGTCAAAATTTTCCCACCAAATAAATTTCCGTCCGACTTTTCCTGCAAAAAAAAAACCCAAGAAATTTAGGAAGGATTCAACAAAATTTAGGAAGGATTCCATGTAATTTAACAAGGATTTAACAAAATTTAGGAATGATTCCACGTAATTTAACAAAATTTAGGAAGGATTCAATAAATTAATCTCTATGAATTATAAAAATAGCATACCACATCCAACACATATTATTACAAACGATTTCACTTACACATATACGTTCACGATTGGCGATTCTATTAATATTACAGTCACGATAGACATTTTAATCGTAGAACACAAAATGGTTACAGAACATTCAACATAGAATACGTCGGAATATGTGCTAAAGGTTGCATCCATATATATACTTAAACCTAATACATTCCCTAGAAGTCAAATCCAAAATCTGATGTAAAAACGCTAGAGGCTTAACCAACCACTGATCAAAAGGATTCAACAACTATTTCAATATTAGGATCAATAGTATTATGTGTAGTTTTTAATCAAACACACAATAGTTTTTGTTTACATCATATGATAGGAGCAAATGTTTTTAGATTTGTAAACCAAATCTTAAAACCACATACACTTTATTATTGCATAGAACTTGAAAACTCTTACACAAAGACACAGACGCACATAGTTAAGGTGATTCATTAGAAGCAGGAATATAACTTCCTGGAGGAAGCCTGCATGGTCGGGGTCTCCTCCACTTCCAAGTGAATACTGCTGGAGAAGTTCCACATGACCTTGAAGGTGGTGTGTACACGATAGGCGTTCCCGAAAACCCCCACGCTGACATATTAAAGTTCAAAACTAAACTAAGCGAGATTTTTTATTTACTTTGAAGGAAAAATCGATTTTGAACTCGTTCTTTTCACAACTTTACTTAGAAATTGTTGATGTAATGTAAGGATGAATTTATATCTTGCCATACACTCTTTCCATTTTCGCATCAAAAATGATATACACAAGAAAACATAAAAGAGATAGGGCAAGAGATATAGTTTATTTGTTGTAAAGAAACTTACACAGTTTGCGGCCTGTACATTCCACGACTTCAAGCTGAGAGGAAAGAGTGAAAAGTATAAGAAGCAGTGTTAACAAAAGTGCAGAAATATTTGGAGACTTCGAACCCATTTCTCTTTCGTTGCGTTTTTTTTTCATCGCAAGTTTGTGATATATATATAGAAGGCCTAACGGTTAGGCCCTAACCTCATATTTTTTGTTTCCCTATTTAGTTTTCTTGTTTTTTTTCTTTTTTTTGAATACATGGAGGTTATGGGACAAAGCCCGTAATCCCCCAGCCCCGTAACCTCATATTTTTGGTCCAGATTTGGTCATGCCCAAATTCGAAACGGTCAATATGGGCTAGAAGTCCATTTAGTCTACAAACAAATGGGCCGAACCCATCTAGACATGGGCCGTCCAATAAACCTTAAAAATTAGGGTTACTAATTTGGATTAAAAAAAATTTTCTTTATTTGTTTTAAAAATAGGATTTACACTGACATTTTCACTCAAAAAAATAATTTTACAGTTTTGGCGGAAAAATGCAATTTTACGATTTGGCGGAAAAATGCAATTCTTCGATTTTGAGAAAAAAAGTGTTTTTGCGGTTTTGGCGGGAAATAGAAAATCATATTATTTGGGCCTCATGGTCCTATTTGGGTTTGGACTTAATTAGACACGGTCCTATTTGGGTTTATACTATCATGGTCCTATTTGGTGTTGGTCCCATTTGGACAGACCCATTTGAACCTCGACAGCCCAATTGTCATCCCTAGCCTAACCTCATATTTTTGGTTTCCCTATTTAGTTTTCTTGTTTTTTATTTTTTTTGAATACCTAGAGGTTGTGGGACAAAGCCCGTAATCCCCAGCTCCGAAACCACATCATGTAATATTAGTTTCATCCCAAGCGTCACTCGAACCGGCAACTTTTAAACTTCGCCTATGGTCTTTACCGATTGAACTAACAACACTTGATATTTAGTTTTTCTTGTTAACTAGCTTTATTTCAAAGTTTTACTTGTGAACGCGGTTTCTATATGACCTACAAACCTAAAATATTCCTTCTTGTTGTTGATTTACAAATTTGAATTTTAAGAGATAAGTCTTTGTCCGTTGTTTTGGAAAAATTTAAATACGACTTCCTTGCCATTTCATATTAATCGAAAAGAATATATTAAGTGGAGTTGACTATTAGTGTACGTTGACTTAAAAAGAAGAAAGTAACAACGACTTGAAACTTTATTTTCAGTGTCATTTGAGATTGCTTGATTTAAGATGAACCGCAGATGACTTTGACTTATGTTGAAAGCAAATAACAAAGACTCCATCGCACTTTGCCACTATCAATGATCGTTGAATTGGTCATCTAAGCTTTTTTAGTTTTTTCCTTTTAACTTCGCTTCTTACTGAGGTCCATGTTCGTTTGCCTGTCGTTTGATTCAGCGGCAGCGACCAACGACAGCAATCAGCGACCAGGGACATCATGTATTATTCGTTTGCTTATCGCTGGCGACTGTTTCTGTGTTGTTCGTTTGACTGTCGCTTTAAACAGTCGCTATATTTGTAAATTTTTAAATTAATATTTATGATAATTTATATTAAAAAAAAAATTTATATAGAAAAATTGTCTCTTATAGTCCCAAATTAAGTTTTTGGGACAAAAATAGCACCTTATTTTTGATTTTTTAAATTAATACATAATTATAAATAAATATAAAAATCACAAATTCATCGTTAATATTTTCCCGCCAAAACAAAATCTCGTCAAAATTTTCTCGCCAAAATAATTTCCATCAAAATTTTCTGCCAAAATAATTTCCGGTCCCGGAAAAAAAAATCGTCAAAATTTTCCCACCAAATAAATTTCCGTCCGACTTTTCCTGCCAAAAAAAACCCAAGAAATTTAGGAAGGATTCAACAAAATTTAGGAAGGATTCCACGTAATTTAACAAGGATTTCACGAATCGTGAAACCCTTCCTAAATTACATGGAATCCTTCCTAAAATTCATGAAAGCCGTCATTAATTACGTGAAATCCTTCCTGAATTTCGTGCAATCCTTTAAGGAATGATTTCCTGAAATGCAAGGAATCCTTCCTTAATTTCAAGAAATCTTCCTAAATTTCGTGAATTTTTTTGGGGGAAAATGTTGAAAAAAAAATTTTGGCAGAAAAATTTTGATAAAAAGTTTTTGGCGGGAAAATATTTTTACGTTGCGGAAATTTTTTGGCGGAAAATTTCCAATTTTATTTATTTATTTATTTTAATTAAATAATTATTCATATTTAAGTTTGTAGTGTTATTTGTAGAACTTTTCAAATGTAGTGTTATTTTTGGAAGAAAAACTTATTTTAGTGCTATTTTTGTCAATCTCCTCGTACATCCTCTTAGGTTACAGACTATAGTATTATATATGATTTTCTCCAAATATATACCACTGGCGGACCCATGTCAGAAGATTAGGGGTCAGCTGACCAATGTTAAATATTAAAAACTTGATTTGTAAGACAAATTGCAATGTAAACATCAGCTAAATTTGTTAAAGGATTCTGTAATGACATCTTTTTTTTTTTTTTTTTTTTTATATAATTTTATTAATCAACCCATTAATGGGCATGGGCTAAGGCCCAAACACAGAAGAAATCCAGTTACAAAAAGGTTAATCGGAGAAAATCTCCGGAAAGTAAAAAAAAAGCTCGAACCTTGTTGACGATCGGAAGCAGAGTGGCCGGAGCCTTAAATCCGGCGGACTCAAAAGTCACGGCTTTGTGGACGCACACGAAAGATCGAGAAACGCAGTCGGAAGATTCCGGTTTCCGTCTGCGAACTCTCTCCGCCGCCGCACCAACCCACTACAACTCTCCCAGAAAGCTAGCCACTCCGACTCACCGGTTCCACGGTATCTGTTCCATGCCTAGCAACCCGATACACTGGGGTTTATCCCCTTTCTTCTCTCTCCGTGATTTCTCTGATCTCCCTGAGCTGCTATCCTTCAACCGGGCGGATGGAAGCCAAACACAGCGGATCCAGAAATTGGTGCTCAGCCAAAGACTCTAAACCCTTGCCTCCGCATTAGCCATCTAAGATCTGCCAAGATCTACAGTTAACCATCTCGCCAAACAAACGAAACCCACCGAATCACCACCAACTTCCGCCGTAGCCGCAACCACCATATCAACGGCTGAGCAAGAGGATCTACATAGCATTCCTCGGCGTCCTCAAACCGTGGAACCAACGCTACGGAGCTCCTCCACCGCCAAACCGGAGCGACGACCACATCGATGGGGATTATCCTCTCCACCGCTGACGGCGAAGAAAAGCAAGCTCACTCCTGGACCACTGTGAAAGGACCTTGGCCAGGGATGAAGATCTGATATCGGAAAAACTAGATCTAAATCTGAAAAAACTTCTGCAAGAGAGAGAGAAGCTCAGTTCCCGAGGCAACGATTGTGCGATTCTTTTCACATTATGACACTGTGTTACTTTTTTGCCCATTTTAATTTCTTCTGTAGTAAAACCATCATAGTACGTGTCCATAATATTTGTTTTCATTTAGTTTTCTAAAGTTTTATAGTTGTTTTGTATTTGTTTCGTTGTCTTTATATATATGTATATATATTTGAATTCTCATTGATTTTAGTTATTAATTTATTTTCATCTTGTTTATTGTGTTACTTCATCTAATTTACTTTACCTTCCATGTTAGTTTTTATTAAAAAAATTAAAAAAAAACTATTATATTAGCATATGCATTCAATATTAATACAATAATACTATTACAAATGAAATTTTTTTTGTTTGGTTTCTTTTCAAGTTTTAAACAAAAAACGTAAAACCCCAATATTTTATGTAATGTTTGAAAAATAACAGTAATATTTTGACCTTAGTAAAAAATATTTCTGGATTCGCCTTTGCCAAAAGTACCATCGAACCAGTAACCTTTAGATTTTGCATATTTATTTTTTGCTTTTACTAGTTTCTTTTCTTTTAAATGAAACATTATTTTCAAATTTCCACAAGTTGACCCGGTTTCAACATTTGCTACAAGATTCATTGGTGAATAAACGAATGACCGCAAAATCTGAATTTTAAGAGATAAGTGTTCTATCCCTTCTGAGCTGCCTAATATAGTGTACGTTGACTTATGTTGACTTTTACGCCTTATTTTCCGTGTCACTATATATGAGATCGTTGGATTCTGGATGAACCGAATGATGACTTTGACTCATGCTAACAAAGACTAGCTAGCATTGTGTGTTGAGTCACTATCAATGATCCTTAAATTCATCATGCTGCTTTTTATTTTTTATATATATATATCTTCGATTGCTTACTGTGAATATAGACATTGCATGGAGTTTTCGCTTACTAGGTGACTTTTTGGTATTGATTACTAGGTGATGATTATTTGCATGGTGCTGAGTGAGGTTTAGACTATTATGCTCTCTCTTTTGCTTATCCCCTTTTTTCTCTTGTTACAACCCAACAATAACAGGCCTAAAAGGTAAGCCCAAGCTATCCGTTGGAGTTCAAAAAACCCAAAACCTAGAACTAAACCTAAACTTTAACAAGTCTGAAAATTATTCTAACGTGGGATAAAACAAACGCTAAAGAAGAGAAGAGTCCTTGGAGTTCTCAAAACTCATGGACGTCCGTAGCAAAAGCTATCATAACAATATGTTACTCCTGGTAGTTACTAGTTAGTCTTCCCCGTTTTTTTTTTTTTCTAGCGTGCATTTCTATCTCTATAAAAGGTTGTTCTTTCTTGTATTGCAAAGTTGCAATTTGTATTGCTTGTTTCATAAATATTTGTTCATATTTTAGTAGGCAGCTCGTGAACTCTTTAAATTATAAAATTCAGTAGAGAATTTCTTTGAAAAAAACAACTCTAGTTTCTTCTAAAGAAGAGATTTCAATTTGACAAGTTTAAGGAAACGCCAACTACAGTTCTGAAAAAGAAAAAAAAAAGCGACAATTGGCTCTAATGCATGAAATTCAAAAGAAAAAGCGACTATAGCAAAGTTAGTCGTAAGCTGACCATTTTGTATTATGATTATGAATAATAACATTAGTAATTGACCATCATAAGTATTAGTTCCTTCATTGATTCATAGTAGGAGATAACATTCCTCTACACTTGAGAGTTGAGACAGGAAACTAAAACAGAAAACCACAGATACTTCAAAATTCTAACACAGAGTAACTTATTAGGGAGATTGATCAGAAACAGGGATATTAGTTCCTGGAGGACGACTACGTCTGCATGGTTGGCCTGTTGTCCACTTGGAAGAAGAAAATACTGATGCTGGAGAACCTCCACATGAATTTGAGTGTGGAGTCCACACGATAGGATTTCTCCAAAACGCTGCAGTATTAACGTTAAACTAATTTAGTGAAACGATTGATTTCAAGTTCGTTGGTTTTTCACAAATTTAAAATGTATATATTTGTTATAAAGACACTTACCAAGTTTACGCCCTGTAGATTCCACGACTTCAACTTGAGAGGAAAGAGTGAAAAGTATAAGAAGTAGAGGTAACACAAGTGCAACAATATTTGCTTACTTCAAACCCATTTTCTCCTTCGTTGCGTTTTTGGTCATCGCAAGTCTTGTCATAAATATATAGAAGACGCTTAACCTCATACTTTTTGGTTGTTTCTATTTGATTCTTTCAAAGCAAGCATTATTTCTAAACTGTTGACAAGCGAACGCGGTTTCAACATTAGCCACAAGATTCATTGTTGATAAACGAATGGCTTAAATTTTGAATATTAAGAGATAAGTGTTTTTGTCCCTTCTTTTGGATAATGCTAAATACGACTTCTTTGCATTTCATATTAGTCGACAATAATAGTGAAGTGGAGCTGACATCTTAGTTTTGGTGCCACTATCTATGATCGTTGAATTGGTCATCATGCTTGCTTTTTTTCTGTAACTTAGTTTGCCACATGAACATATGTGCATATGGCACGGAGTTTGCTTATTATGTGACATATTTGGTATTTATTGCCTACTAGGTGATTGACTAACTCAATATTGAGAATGAGTTTTAGAGTTTTAGTGTTCAATAAATTTTGTATAAATATGTAGGCTCAAACAACATGTTATAAATCGTTTTTCAAATAAAATTTTGATATACAATTTACATAATCTCATAGAAAAATAATGTTCATAAACTTCACTTCTATAGATACTTATTTTCCTAAATAATGACAAAAAATTTAAAATTAAGAAGATATTAAGAGAAGTCATAGTAATTAATAATTAAAAAAATTATTAAGAGAAGTCAAAGTAAATAATTGTCTAAGAATTGTTTTACAAAATAATTCTTTTTATTTTATCGAAGGAGACCAGTTTGTGTTAAATAAAAACTGCTTTTGTAAAGTTCAGACTGAAATGTTCTCACTTGCAGTTTTGTGCATATTCCGTTATAATTAAACATGAAAGAGTACCATTGTTTAACATTGTTTATATATCAGATAAAACATATATAAAGTTGCGGCACAAAAATAGAATTCAGAAATCTTTTTTTTTTTGGTAAAAGAATTCAGATATCTTATTTGTAATTTCTCTCCTTCTTTACTTAATTCCCTTTCAAGGCTCTGTAGTAGATTTTTTTGAAGAGCGTTGACGTGGAGGTGGACATGGACGTGAACGTGGACGTGGACGAGGACATGGTCGTCTTCCATGGCCTCCGCATGTACAAGATGGAGTTGTTGCAGATAACTCTCTACTAGCTTCTACTAACGAAGAATGAAGAAAATTTTATGTTAGAAATGATGAATTAGTTCAATTCTATGTGAGTAACAAATATAACGTGGAGATTCTGGAGATGATTCTAAAAGCAATCATATATATGATATTTGTTTTTGGTAGGAATCATATATATGATATTAAGTGGTATCAATATGTTATTACCTAGATTTAAATATTTTTTACAAACTCTATTATCGAATATCTAAAATAATTGACCCTTTCCTAGTTTAAAGATACTAGAACTTGAAGATTTCTTCAAGATACTCAACATCTGCTTAAGATATAGCGTAACATAGAAACAAGAGAATAAAACCAGATCTATGAAGATACTGACCTACTCTCCGGCGAGTGATCTCAAACCCTCTAATTTCAGAGAAGAGACAAAGAAGTAGAAGAAACAATAGAAGAAGAGCACTCGTTGACCTTTTCAAATTCATTTTGTTTTTTTTTGCTAAAGGGTTTTCATAACCAGGAGCCGTCCTCTGGGCTCGTACAGTCGTACTTCGCCTTAGGGAAGAGGACCTCCGATATTCATCCAATGAGACGACTTAGCCATCACCTGTTGTCGTCCAGAACCGTACGCTTAAATCCCACCGCCACCATGTCACGATTCTTCAAGAAACTGTCGACGCTACCAAGCCACGATACAACATGGAGGAAGATCACGCCGGAAAACCATAGAGAACCCAGACCGCCGTCTTCAAACAGTTTGTCGCCTCAAGGATGGATCTCCAGCCGCTACTAGCAGAAAGATAGGTCTCGTCGCCACCAACGCAACACGCACAAGGGATGAGCACAATCTGAAGCCACCAATGGATTCCACATCAAAATCCCGATTCGACTTCACCGGAGCAAGGGTTGACAACATATCCGGCCAGATGAAACAGAAAGGAGCCCTCTACGGTTGTCCACGAGGAGCGTTGTGAACCGGAGAGACTTATCGAAAGTTCTTTGGATTTGACGCCTTCGGGCAAGACGAAAGAGAAATAATCCACGCATTTTGCTCGCGCGCGCTAGCTTCTTTAAGATCCTTATATCCGTGATACCACTCTCCCGACAACCCTGGAAAATGGACATGCCATGTGTACCTCCCATTAATGCTCACCAATACCAGCTACCTTGATACATAACTCCTTAGAAAACGTACCTACATCCAATTTTGGGATGCATGAGTAAACGATTTTACTCAGTAGAATTATCCTATATGCCCACATGACCTAAACATTCACTTAGTCCCAATGTTCCTTCCCACAAGTCCAAGAATAGACAACTACATGCAAACAAAGAATCTACCAACCTAACGATATCAAAGAAATGCATTACATTCAATTAACAAACAACCTAATGATGTCTACATACTCAATTATTCATGTTGTGTAACACTCAACTCAGGTCAAGCGACCCATCGGTCCTTGCCACTTACTCAGGGCCCGTCGACCCACCCCATTCTAAACAATCATCATGCTTCAATCAATCAATCTCAACAACCATGCCTCGGCAGTCGGCATCTGACAACCTAAGCAGCAATCAATCTAGATATCTACACTCAACCTTAGTGTTCCATTCACGAGTTCCAGAATTATGTAGAGGGTCCACAGGCGGGGAAGGCAGCTTCACGTTCCTCTCCATGGCTTGATCAATCTCCTCTTCTTAACCATCCAGTAATCCATCTTGAAGATCTAAGTCACAGAAGAACTAGGGTTTTAGAGATCTAGGGTTTCGGGAAACTTAGGATTTAGATCTAGATTAGGATTACCTTTTTCTCACAACAGAAGGCTTGGATCTAACTTTTGTCACACACAAACACTCACGGCGGCTAGAGGAAGAGGCTTAGCACACAACGTTGCATCGTCTAGACTCATACCAAAAAAAAACGTTGCATCTAGATAGGAATATACCACTAAACCTTCAAATTTTTCAGGTTTTTCTAATTTAAACCTCTAACCTTTCGTGTTTTATGTTTAAAACTCCAACTAAATTATTACTTTTTAAAACCAACTTTGGAATAAAAAAAAAAAAGAGAATTATAGGATTTCCGTTAGCTTCAAATCCATTTTTTTTTTTCTATTGTTTGTTTGTTCTTGCTAGTAAAGCTTTATTAAACGCATCTATAGCCGAAAAATCCAAGTCCCCTTCAGCCTTCCAACACATTTTGTTTCACGCCATCCGATGAAATCCTTTTGTTGACAATTAGAACTTGATACTAATCGTTTTTGAAAGTATAATTAAACATGACAACACACATGTGTAGATAATGTTGTAACGACTGATTTAATTATCCCTTTCTTACTACATGTGGAAAAAAAATTCCAGTTATTTTATCTTGGAGTCTTTCACATACAGATGCAAAAAACTTAGATTTGTTTATTTTTCTTTTGGGAAAAATGTGATAATTTGCTTCATGCATATGAACTTCAAAACAAAAAGCGACGATAACAAATTTAGTCGTAAGCTGGCCACTTTTATATCATGATAAACTGATAATAACATTAATAACTGACCATCGACCCATAAGTTTTAGTTCCTTCATAAGTTCATAGTATGTGACAAACATTGGTTTACACTTGAGACAAGAAACTAAAACAGAAAACCAAAGACACTTTATTATAGGAGGATATAACTTGAAAATCCTGACACAAAGACACACAAACTCGAAGTATTAGGTGAGTATTAAGGAGATTGAGAAACAGGGATATTAGTTCCGGGAGGACGGCTACGTCTGCAAGGTCGGTTTGGCATCCACTCGGAAGCCATTGTTGCTGCCGGAGAACCTCCACATGAACTTGAGGGTGGGGTATATACGATAGGTGCTCCGTTAAACCCCCACGCTGCAATTTTAGAGTGATGATTGATTTACTAAGGTGGATATAAAAGAATTCAAATTCATAATTTTTAGAAAGTTTTACTTGCAAACTTTTAATACCGTATATGCTTATGTTTTTGTAAGTTGTAACAACACTTACAAAGTTTGCGGCCTGTACACTCCACAACTTCAACTTGAGAGGAAATAGTGAAAAGTATAAGAAGCATTGGTAACACAAATGCAGCGATATTTGGTGACTTCAAACCCATTTTTGTCTTCGTCATGTTTTTGGTCATCGCAATTCACAAGTCTTGTGATAAATATATAAAAGAAGCGTAACCTCATATTTGTTTGCTTTTGCTATTTAACTTTATTTGCAAACTTTCACTAGTGAACGCGGTTTCTACATTAGCTACAAGCCTACAGGACTAGATAAACGAATGGCTAGAAATATTTGAATTTAGAAGATAAGTGTTTTGTCCCTTCTTTTGGAAAAAGGTCAAATACGACTTCCTTACCATTTCATATTAGTAGAAAGGAATATTCAATATGAGTTGACTAATATTGTCCGTTGACTTATGTGTCACTATGTATGAGATCGTTGGATTTTATAAGAACAAATGCCACTATCAATGATTGTTGAATTGGTCAATTTTTTTGTTCCTTTTATATAGCACGGACTTTTTTCTTGCTACGTAGGTGACAATATGTTTTTTTATTTCTTGTAGGTGATTGACTATCTGCAAACTGAGAATGAGATTTCCTAGTGTTTAATTTTGTATATACAGTATTTTATAATCATATTATCTAATCGAGTGAAAACGAAGAGGCCCTAGAGGTATAGCAAATTTCTGGTACTTCAAACACGAACAAGAAATTGTTTACAGGGTACAAAAACCAAATAAAACTCCAAGCAAAACCCCGTCAACTCTCGGGGTTCTAAATCCACATAATATGTTACAAATTGTTTATCAAATAAAATTATATATATCATTTTCGTATGGTATCACTGAAACTATTCACTAATATATATTCCCTATATATATATTATTTAAAATTCAAGCAGTCTAATTTTATATTTATTATTCTTAATTCATCTAGCATAACTTACAAACAATAATCTCATAGAGAAATAGTGTTCACAAACTTAACTTCTCTGTAGATTGTTCTTTTCATATTTGGATCATCTAGCGCAAGTGGTGATATCACCTCTCTAGATTTTTAAACACGAAAATTCGACTCTATCTCCCCTGAGAAAAAGATATATAGAGGAAAAGTCTAGTCGTATAAATAAAAATAGTTGACCAAAAAAAAAATTATTTTAGAGAAGTTAGAGAAAGTATTCTAAGGAAATATATACAAAATTAGTGTCTAACAAATGGATTACTGATTTTTTTAAGAGAAACCAGTCTATGTTTTTTTTTATAAAAAAAAAAAGAAAAAAAAAACTAGTCCAAGTTACAAGGATTACTGATTTTGTAAAGTCCCAACTAAGATATTCTTGCTTGCAGGTTTGGTCATGTCTCGTTATAAACATATAAAAGTACCATTTTTTTGGATTAAAACTTTGTTTGTGTCTAACAAAATGTAAATAAAAGTTGCTGCACAAAAATAGAATATTTATATTTTTATTTCCTTTTTCTTCAAGGGTCGGTAGTAGATCTTCTTAAAGAGCCTGGACGTGGCCGTGGCCGTGGACGTGGGCATGGACTTAAACTTGGTTGTGGTCCTCCAAGTCTTTGGCCTCCGCATGTTACAGATGGAGGGGTTGCAATTCGCCCTCTCACTGGTTCTTCTACTAAAAGTTGAATGTTGAATCAGATAGAAAGTATATGTTCAAAATGATGAATAAAATCTTATTCTATACAATACCGAAGAAACAAAAATAACACGGAAGTTACTAATCCTACAATTATAATTTGTTTCCCACAATAACCATATTCTTAAATAAGCTAAATTTGGTTTAGGGGAGAAAACAAATTCATTGATAGCTTGAGCTATTGTGAGATATAGGAAGGCACTAACCTACTCTCCGGCGAGTGGTCTCAATCCCTTCAATTTCAGAGAAGAGACAAAGCAGTAGAAGAAACAAAGATGGAAGATTAGCATTTCTTGACTTATTCGAACCCATTCTTATTCTAGCATGTATGTAACGTTGCATGTATATATAGATATAAAGAATACTAGATTTTAATCCGCGGTACACAGCGGAATGATTTAATTTTAAAGTTAGTATAAAAATATTTTGTAAATTGTATCTTCTTATAACATATTGATTTATATTATAGTTTACAATTGTTATTAAGTAACGGTATACCACGAGTCCACGAGACAGTTATTAACAAATTGAGGATTTAACCCGTATTAAAGCGGTATATAAATATTGATTCAAATTCGTCCGCCATATAAATATTTTCCGAAATATAACCCGTTCCGTAATTTTTTAACCCGTACTGTGATTTGTTTTTATTTTAAAATTTAGTGACTATTTATTATATATAAAAGTTTACAACTCATATCATCCTCTAAGACCACGGGACATTATACCATGGGATAATTTTTGGTTTTATACAATCTTTTCTAAATGAGACTGATTTAATATGTCTAATATTTGTGGTATTAAGAAAATAAGGATTTAATCCTTATTGAAGCGTCTGATTAATGATATTTTAATCTTTTTATTACTGTTGATTAAAAAAACCGTCCCGCCAAACCTGTCCGGCCAAAAAACTCATTTATTTTATTAATGTTCTTATTTATGATATGATTCTGAATCATTGTCTAAATATTTTAATCGATGTAGAACATTGAACACACATTTTCGTCAACTGGATAATATATGTCCGTTTTTAAAATTTCGAATCACAGTATATGCAGAAAAAATTGATTTTTTTTTAATTTATGTATTATATGATGATTCAAAACAGTTAAAAACAAATCAAACAAAGATGATAGGAGAATCATAATTATAAATCTTAATCAAATCTTCTAAATATCTAAATTATTAAATATGGAATATCCGGTGTATGAGTTGGGTTAAATATAACTCGACCCAACAAATTTTTTGTGAAGGATTTTTAAAATCGGATCGGATATCCGATATACCCGTAAGCATTTTTACCCACCCGTCACCAAAGTGTTGCAAAAATATTAGTATAGATATTTGTTACTGGACCGGTTTGTCATTGGTGCCAACTATTTTTAATAAAATTAGATCGAAACCCGCGCTACGCTTCGGGGCTTTTTAAAAAAATTATTTTTGAAGAAATTGTTTGACAACATGTGGTTTTTAGAAAACAATATGCATGAAGTGAATTTAACAAGCGATTTGAGCCTCATGTAGTTTTTGTAAATAAAGTTTGTTTTAATATAAGTATTTATGGTAGAAATTTAAAAGCTTTCATAGATTTTGTATTTTACCTTTGCTCGTATATTAATTGTTTTGTTTTATAAATTTATATATAAATACATTAGTAAATAACTGTTGGTTTCGGATCCCGCACGGGTAGTTCGGGACCAACCAAAAATTGCCACATAGGCAGGATAGAAGCCCACAAAGGATAAGGCCAGTTAGACTCATAAGCCTAAGAACATGGTCGAAGTGATTGCACCCCGAGATAAGGGCGAAGTCGAAGTCAAGATTAGTTCGGTTCGGGACTTTTTGGGCTAAAGGGCGAAGCCCATGAAGTTCGGGGTTAATTCAAATTCAAACGTTCAAACATTAAATTCGAAGACTGTAACGGACACATTAAAGAGAGAATAATTGTATTTAATTAGGAGTTAAATATATTCGTTAGTATAAGTATAAGGGCCAAGAGCCATGTAAGGGATAGGCAATTCTTCTAGCAAATATACTATAGCCATTTCCACAACGATTGACAGCTTTTTTGTATGTTAATTTTTGTCCTCAAGAATAATTTTTCCCACTAAATAAACAAGTATTTGAGTGTGTGAATCCGACGTCCACATTTTGGCGCCGCCTGTGGGGAAGCTAGAGAGTTCTTGAGTTATCAGATTTTCTTCATTACATTTTCGAGACAAGCAGCAATGTCTGGAGGAAACACCCCTGACACGTCAGTGGCCGAAACTCTCAAGGCCTTGCAGCAAGCCATGTCGGAAATATCACAGAAGTTTTCGGATGTGGAGAAGGCTGTAGACACATTAAAAACAACCCAGGTATCTCTTAGTCAAAACGTCAATACTATACAATCTTGTGTTCGTTCTCTGAGTGCAGGAAACTCGGTGGGAGTCCGAAGAAGGGTGTTCAATTCGCCAAGCTCCCTTGTGCGAAGTGAAACCATTGAACAAACAACTCCTGATACGGCAATTCAGCCGACAGACGGAGAGACGCAGCTCGGAGACGAAGATCAGCTTGTAGATCAGTACGAGCAAGAAAGCCTCGACCAGTTCAAGACCATGAGAAAGGTTAGCCATGAACTAAAAGAAATGAAGTCAAAGTTCCACCATGCCACCAGTTCGGAGCCGGATATCAACCGAGTCATTGAAGAAACTAGGCGAACACCTTTCATCCCGCGAATCGCAAACTTGAGAATCAAAGATTCTCGGAAGCTCAAACTGGATCTTTACAGTGGACTGGAAGATCCAAAGAGCTATGTCGCAGCCTTTTTGATTGCCGCTGGAAGATTCGAATTGGATGAAGCTGATGAGGATGCGGGATACTGCAAACTCTTTTCGGAAAATCTGTGCGGTCAAGCACTAATGTGGTTCACCCAGCTAGAGCCAGGTTCAATCAACAATTTTGACGAGCTATCGGCTGTATTCTTGAAACAATATTCTATCCTTATGGATAAAAGCGTTTCGGACACCGACCTTTGGAATCTATCACAAGGGCCGAATGAGTCACTTCGGGTTTTCATCACCAAGTTCAAGGGGGTGCTATCAAAGCTCCCAAGAATTTCGCAGCAGTCAGCTCTATCTGCCCTACGAAAAGGATTGTGGCATGATTCAAGGTTCAAAGAAGATTTAATACTTCACAAACCGGACACGATTCAAGACGCGCTTTTCCGTGCAAACAATTGGATAGAAGTAGAAGACGAAAAAGAGAGTTTTGCGAAAAGGAACAAACAAGCGAAACCAACGGTCACCTTCCCTACCAAAAAGTTTGAGCCTAGGAAAAACCAAGAACCAAAAAAGTTTGGATCGCAACCCTCAACAATATCGTCGGAAAACAATTTCAAGGAAAAGGAAGGTCAAACACTTGGGTCCGTGACGAAAGTTTGTACTGTGACATTCATAAGGTAACCGGACACTTAACCAAAGATTGTAGTGTCCTCAAAAAAGCATCTCGCAGAACTGTGGGCCAGTGGAGATCTTTCCAAATTCAAGATAGAAGATTTCGTGAAGGAGTACCACGAGGCAAAAGATAACACCAAAGACCAGAACTCCAAAAGACCAGGGTTGTCCAATGAAGAAGAACCTAGGAGTTCGAAAGGAAAAATCAATGTAATTATTGGAGGTTCCAAACTTTGCCGGGATACGATCAATGCCATAAAGAAGCATAGGCGAAATGTTTCACTTAAAGCAAGCTTGGGCGGAGAAATTGATTTTCAAGGTGCGTCAATATCATTCGACGAAGAAGAAACACGTCACCTCGAAAGACCTCATGACGACGCCCTAGTCATTACCCTAGACGTTGCCAACTTCGAAGTGTCAAGGATTCTCATCGATACGGGCAGTTCGGTCGATTTAATCTTTTTAGGTACTTTGGAAAGAATGAAAATTAGTCAGGCAGACATAGTGGGACCCCCGTCTCCTTTAGTGGCTTTCACTAACGAGTCAGCCATGTCTCTCAGAACGATCAAACTACCAGTTCTTGCCAAAAAGGAGTCAAAAATCGTGGACTTTGTTGTTTTTGATAAACCGGCAGCCTACAACATCTTGGGACACCGTGGATTTATCAAATGAAAGCAGTCCCCTCAACGTATCATCAATGCATCAAATTTCCAACCCCAAGCGGAGTAGAAACAATTCGGGGAAATCAAGAAGCTTCGCGAACATGTTATGTGGCTAGCCACCGACTGAAGATCCAATAGCAATTAACAAAGCTTGCGAAGAAAGGAATAACTCCAAGATTTCCTAGTGGGCAGAAAGAGGATGATGTAGTGATCGAAGTAGTATTAGAAGAAGACAAACCAGATCGGAAAGTCCGAATTGGAGCAACTTTGACCGACAAATTAAAAGAAGCTTTGATCAAACTTCTAAGGAAAAACAAAACGTCATTTGCGTGGACCGCAGCAGATATGCCTGGTATAGATCCAAGCATAATTTGTCATGAACTGAACGTCGACCCGAGCTTCACACTACAGGAAATGTGGGTATTGATAGCACTAAAAGATAGCGTTTTTTATGTCTCTGCTATGTTTTACTTAATAGATAACGTTTTCTGAATTGTAAACGCTATAAATGATTGAAGCGGGATATATGCAATTCACGCGGCCAATTTTCGGGTTACTAAAGTCTATTTCCCGCTATTGAAAATGTTAAGAGGGAAAATTGTGAAATTTTGTCTAAGGCAAAATAAAAGAAAACAAGAAAATTAACTTTTTCATTTTTTCCCTAAAGCAAAAAAAAAATCTAACTTCTTCTCTCTCGATCGATTTCACTCGACTTCTCTAACAGAGAACAAAAAAAATCTGCAACTCATCTCCCTCTCGATCTAAGTCGGTTTCTATCGATCTCGAACAGGTATGTTCTCATTCGATCTGAGCCGTTTAATTTCTTTGTTCTCTGGAAAACCAATTTGATTTGGGGTTGTGTGAAATCGATTTTGAATTCCAAATTCAAAATCGATTTTGATTTTGGGTTTTCATTCTTACACTTAGTTAACATGCATGTCGAAGTCTGGCACATATATTGTTTCAATTGTGAAATCGATTTTGATTTTGGGTTTTAATTCTTAGATTCAGTTAACATGCATGTCGAAGTTTGGGTTTTGATTATGATTTTTGGTTTCGATTTTATGTTGATTGAAACTGTTCTTCATCAGTTTCAGAAAATGGCAAAGATAAGAGGAGGAGGTCAAGTTGGTGCTCATCGTAGTAGGCGTAATCAAGGCTTGGAGGTAGAAGATGTTGCTCCTGCAATAACACTAAAGGTTAATAAGAAGGTGAATAAGAAGAAAACAGCAAATAAAGTGGCTCGGAGAAGAAGTAGTACTAGAGCCAAGAAAGTGGCTGCTGTAGATGATGAGGTAGAAGATGTTACACCGAAAGTGGCTGCTGTAGATGATGAGGTAGAAGATGTAACACCAGAAGCTGTGGAAGAAGAAAAGGGTAATGACAAAGATATAACACCGGAGGCTGATCAGACTGAGAAAGCAATGTGTGAAGATGAGAATGAAGGAGAAGGATGTTTGACTGGACAGGGCCAAGAGGAGGATGAAGAAGAAGTTGCCAATATAGAAGAAGAAGCTTGTTTGACTGGACAGGACCAACAGGAGTATCATCAAGAAGAAGCTGCCACTATGGAAGTAGCTGCGAATAATGAAGAAGTTGCCAATATGGAAGAAGATGGTGTTGGAAATGGTCAAGATAAAGCGATTCCTACCAACACTGATGAAGGAAGTCAGGTACCAGAAGAAAGAGTGAAAGTAAGAAGAAAAAGAGGACCAACAAAGATGCGTAAAGTGGCTGAAAATCCTAATGAAAGGGTTTCAGTTTCTTTCACTGACTTTGGTGATCATGTTGGAACTGGTTCAGTAAGATTATCATCTTTTCTTGGTGTCCTCGTGAGTCAATTCATTCCGGTTACAATTTCTGATTGGAGAGAAGTTGATGCAGCGACTAAAGAAACATTGTGGGAACAAATTCAGGTATACATTTATATGCAACTAATTTTTTGTTTAACAGATATGAAACATGTTTAACCTTTGCTTGTTGTACTTGATGTAGGGGAGGTTTGACATGGAAGAAGAAAGGAAAAAAGCTGTTATTATGAAGCAAATGTGTAATATCTTTAGGGGTATGAAGTCAAGGCTAGTGACAAAAGTACGTGCTGCTGAGACAGCTGCTGATATACTAGCTTTAAAACCCAGCAACATCCCATCCATTCAAGTGTGGAACTCTTGGGTTAAGAGCAAGACTAGCAAAGCTTTTACGGTTAGTATGAAGTTTATATGTTTATATGTCATGTCTTATAGATTTAATCACACTCATATTTATAATGTAGGAAGTAAGTAACAAGATGAGGAAGTTGAGACATGATCAGATTCCTCAAACCTCCAGCCGCAAAGGATTGGTTCGTTTAGCTGATGATATGGTAATAATAGTTGTCAATATCTATATATTGTATATCTTGTTAGCATAAAATGGTACTGAGATATGTATATGTACTTTATATAGAAAAAAAGAGTTCAAACCCAAGTAAGGTGACTAGGACTAAGGTATGGTTAGCGGGACACACTCATGCTGATGGTAGACCTGTGAAGCCTCAATTTGTTGAGACTATTGTAAGAATTCTGGAACTTGTTATATTGTGTGTAAGTAATGCATCATGATCAATGAGTTTTAATATTGTGTTTGAAGGTTTGTCTCATAAACAAATACAATCACTTGATAGTGAAATGGACTCTACATCAGCTGCTGATAACATAAGGGAAGATGCTGTGAGCCAGATTTTGGGAAAAGACAAACCTGGACGAGTAAGGGGGTTTGGTAGAGGGATCACGGCTACTAAGTTAGCGTTTATACAAGCTAGAGACGCAAAAATGGCAGAAATGAAAAGTGAGATTGATGAGTTGAAGGGAATGTTTAGAGACTTAGCTGGAAAGAAGGTAATCCTTTTCATTACATTTAGTCAATTGGTCTGGTTTTAAGACATTAACAAAATTCCTTTTCCTTATCTCAGAAAAGTTATTGTGAGACTGAAACATGTGAGAGTAGTGGTGTATTCAAAGTAGGAGATAGAGTACAACTACTGGATTGGATTCATTCAAGAGAAGTAGTTGTTGGTGAAGGAGAATTCTGTTCTGATGAACCGATGTACAAAATTGGTCGTATACCAATTGGTCCTAATGCAGTGGCTGTCATTGTTAGTTCTGTACTAAGCTCAACAGCTTCTCTCTGGAGGCCTACATCAGATGTGTTACATCTTAAGGAAGCTGTTGGATGCAAAATATCTTGGCCAATGGACAAAGTGCTTAGGGTTCCATTCACTTCTGAAGATGTATCCTTAGGGGTAAAGTTTTAAATTCCAATATCATTTTCTTTTGGTGAATTGATATATATCTAATCATTAGCCTCTTACATTTTAGCCAAACAAGGAAGGTGAAACTCGAAGCTGCAAAATATTTGATTGGGAAAATATAGAGAATGATGAGCTTATTGCTGAAGGTATCGTGTGCTCATCTAACTCCAAAGAGAGGGTTAACAATATTCCTCTAGGTCCGGGTGCTGTTAGTCTTCACGTTGTGAAGGTGTTCAATTTTAATGCTCCTTTGTGGAGGCCAACTGCTGATATTAGTGTAATTGGTGAAGCAATTCATGAAAAAATCGCATGGCCAGTCCTAAAGATTGATGTCACGGCTGCAGCCACTCCAGAACCAACACTAACTAAATCAGTGGTATGTTATTGAAATTAAGTTTTTCATTTGTTTGTCTGTTGATTGATGTTGGGACTTTCATTGATGTTGGAACTTGCTTCTATTATTTGCTTTGAGTTGTAGAGTCCAGGCAGCAATAGTTCCACCAAAAGTCCAAAGCAGAAGTGTGTTCTTTTGACTGCAACAATTCTGGTCGTATTGTAGCTGAAGGATCAGTGATGTCAACAGATCCAGAAGATAAGTGCCATAATGTGCCCCTCGGTCCAAATGCAAGCAAGGTCTCTGTAGATTTGATTAAGATTGGTAATGCAAAGGTCTGGAGGCCAAATTCAGAGTTTGTGTTCATTTCTGATGCAGTAGGTTCAGTTGTACCTTGGCCAACCGAGAAAGTGAAGTTTGTGTGAAACTTAGCCAATTGTGATATTGGTATTGTATTGGTATTGCCGGTTATGGATATTAGATTGTATAATATTTGTATTGTGATATTAGCATATTTGTATTGTGATATTAGCATATTGGTATTGTGATATTAGATTATGGTATTGGTACTTTGTGTAATATTATGGTATAAATTAAACTCTAAATTAAAGTTAAAATCTTAAATTAAATCTCTAAACCCTAACCCTTAACCCTAAACCCTAAACCCTAACCCTAAATTAAAGTTAAAATCCTAATTAAATTAAATCTTTAAACTCTAAATTAAAGTTTAAACTATAACACATAAATACTTGAGTAAAAAAATCTAAATCCCAAAGTTTAAACCCTAAACCCTAACCCTAAACCCTAAACTCTAAATTAAAGTTAAAATCCTAATTAAATTAAATCTTTAAAACTCTAAATTAAAGTTTAAACTATAAAACATAAATACTTGAGTAAAAAATCTAAATTCCAAAGTTTAAACCCTAAACACTAAACTATGCCTTAGTGTATATGAACATATAAGTTAGATAGTTGGACTTGGAATACTAACCTATATTAATTGTTCTTAATTTTAAAATTTTATACTTATAAGAAAAAATATTCTAAAAATTGAAATACATATATTGTATTTTTAAAGAAATAATTTATATTTTTTTCATTAATAAAAAATTTTATATGATAATTTTATGATTTTTTCATTACTAGCCAATGAGAACTCACCTCCCACATTGTGGGACGAATCCTGCACCGTTAGATCGCGCCGACTTTGATCTGAGCCGTCCTTTCTTATTGTTGACGCGATTAATATACACCCTTGATCTGTATCGCTGATTTGATCTAAGCCGTTCATGTTCTTAGCCAATAAGCTAAGACTACCGAGATTACACTCTAGGCGAAACATACACCGTTGATCTCTCTCGCTGATTTGATCTGAGCCGTTCATGTTCTTAGCCAATAAGCAGTAACTACCGAGATTGCAAGCTTATTGAACCTAGACTGTTGATTCGTTTCACTAATTTTGATCCCAGCCGTTCATTTTTTATACTTTCAGACAACACAACTCGATTTAGGGTTTATCATTTCAGACCACAAATTTTCAGAGAACACAACTCGATTTCCCCAACTCGATTTTACCAAAAGTTCATCATTTCAGAACGGATTCATCTCCATCGTGACCAAATGGATAAGACGTGGATCTCGCTGCCAAGGTATACACTTAATTCTATCTAGCTTACTTATATTATCTGATTGAAAGAAATCTGAATTCTTTTCCAATTGACAATGTAGGAATACTATCGAGTACTCAGAAGGAGCAACGAATTTCGCCAATTCATCTGCAAGAAGATTGGGAAATCTATCTGAAATGCTATGCCCATGTAGAGATTGCCGCAATTTATGCCATCAGTCTATAGAGGAAATTGTTGAGCATCTAGTGCTTAGGGGTATGGATAAGAAGTATAAGACTTCTTGTTGGAATTTTCATGGTGAAAAAGAGCAGATACAGAAGACAATGCTCCTCAACATGAAACAGAGGCATTTGACTTGTTTAAGACAGCATTTTCTATGGGTGATGATGATGATGATGAAGCATTAGAGGCAAACGACGATGAAGCAGTAGAGGAAACTGAGTTTAGGAAAAAGTTAAGAGAAGCTGAAACTCCATTGTACTCTGATTGTATCAAATACACAAAGGTTTCAGCAATTATGGGACTTTACAGATTCAAGGTTAAGAGTGGTGTGTCGGAGAACTACTTTGATCAGCTGTTGGGTTTAATTCAGGACATGCTACCTGAAGACAATATACTTCCGAAGAGTTTAGCTGCAATCAAGAAATTCCTGAAGATATTTGGTTTCGGATGTGAAAATATTCATGCTTGCAAGAACGATTGCATACTATATAGGAAGGAGTTTGAGAAGTTAGATAGCTGTCCAAGATGCAAAGTTTCAAGATGGGAAAAGGATAAGCATAGTAATGAGATAAAGGTTGGGATTCCAGCAAAGGTCCTTAGATATTTTCCAATCAAGGACAGATTTAAGAGGATATTTAGATCAAAAAAGATGGCTGAAGATTTGAGGTGGCACTATACGAATGGCACTGAAGATGGTACAATGCGACACCCCGTTGATTCTATCCAGTGGGCACAAGTGAATGATAAATGGCCAGACTTTGCTGCTGAACCAAGGAATCTTCGACTTGGAATTTCTTCAGATGGGATGAACCCTTTCTCCATGCAAAACACCAATCACAGCACATGGCTAGTGATGTTGGTGAACTATAACACGCCTCCAACTATGTGTATGAAGGCTGAGAATATAATGTTGACTTTGTTGATCCCTGGTCCAACAGCTCCTGGTAATAACATAGATGTTTACTTGGCACCACTGATAGACGATTTAAAAGATTTGTGGGCTGAGGGTATTGAAGTGTATGACTCATTTGCAAAGGAGAATTTCACACTTAGAGCCATGCTGCTTTGGAGTATCAGTGACTATCCAGCCTTAGGAACATTGTCTGGATGTAAAGTGAAAGGGAAACAAGCTTGCAATGTGTGTGGAAAGCATACACCTTCCAGATGGCTTAAGTTTAGGCGTAAGTTTGTCTATATGGGGAATAGAAGAGACTACCGCCTGGCCATCGTTACAGATATAAAAAAGCTTGGTTTGACAACACTGTTGAGGAAGAGACTACCAATAGGATACAAACTGGCTCTGAAATATATGAGACACTACAAGCTTTTAGGAATGATTTTGGAAAACCTCTAGATAAGGAAACTAAAAGAAAAAGAACTGAGTTGGATCAAGATGAGGTGGTTGAAGAAGAAGAGTGTGAAGAATCAAATGATATATGGCGGTGGAAGAAGAGATCAATATTCTTTGAACTATCTTACTGGAAGGTAATGTAAACTATTTGAACTATATTCTCTTATTGTTGGATCTGAATAAGCCTAACAGTTTCTTATTTAATGTGTTAGGATTTGCTTGTTCGTCACAATATTGATGTTATGCACGTAGAAAAGAACGTCTCAGATGCTATATTGTCTATCTTGATGCAATGTGCTAAGTCAAAAGATGGTTTGAAAGCAAGAAAAGACTTAGAAGATATTGGAATCAGAAATCACTTGCACACAGAGGTCCGGGGAAAGAAAACATACTTACCTCCAGCAGCCTATTGGTTATCCAAGAAAGAGAAGACAATTTTCTGCCAAAGATTATCTAAGTTTAGAGGTCCTGATGGTTATCGTGGTATTATTGCAAATAGTGTTTCAGTTACCCCTCCAAATATAGGTAGTTTAAAGTCGCATGATCATCATGTCCTAGTACAGAACTTGTTACCAGCTGCATTAAGAGGGTTGTTACATAAGGGTCCTAGGATTGCCATAAATAGAGTATGCAGTTACTTCAACAGGTTGTGTCAGCGCATCATCGACCCGGAGAAACTTATGACAATGGAGACAGAGTTTGTGGAAACAATCTGTCAACTGGAGCGCTTCTTCCCTCCATCCCTTTTTGATATCATGTTCCACCTTCCAATACATCTATCAAAAGAAGCACGTTTGGGAGGACCAGTACACTTTCGCTGGATGTATCCATTTGAAAGGTTTGATATATGTACTCATTTGATTCAATATATGTATTTACTGCAATGATATTGGACTAATATTCATTTCTTGACTGAGTTATAGTTACATGAAAACACTTAAGGCTTTTGTTAAGAATCATGCAAGGCCAGAAGCATGTATGGCTGAAGGGTATTTAGCTGGAGAATGCGTTGCATTTTGTTTAGAGTTCCTTAAAGATTCAGTACCAGTTCAAGAAACAGTTAATCGCAATGAAGATATTGAGGCTGATAGAAGCGTGGTTGAAGGTCGACCTCTGCAGAAGGGTATAGAAGTTACCCTATCAGATAAAGATAGAGACAATGCACATCGCTATGTGCTAATGAACATGGCATCTTTGGATCCTTATGTAGAGTAAGAGGTTACCCTTTATGTCTCATCTACTAATTATGATTATAATTTCATTCTCAAGACTGTTGTTTAATGTAAAATCAGGATGTATTTGGAAGAATTACAAGCTAATGATGCTCGATGTGCTAAAAGTGAAACTTTGTTATGGAAAAACCATACTGAGCAGTTTGCACAATGGCTTAAAAAAAAGGTTTACAGGTGCAACTTGTCTTCTTGATTATTTGTTATACAGCTTGTTAAATTGACTGGTTAGCTTGATGTCTGGTTTTCTTGGCACAGAATTTTTAGCTTCATGATCATGTTTTGCTTAATGACTGGTTAGCGTAGCTTGTAGCTTGATGTATGGTTTTCTTGGCACAGAATTGTTAGCTTCATGATCATGTTTTGCTTAATGACTGGTTAGCTTAGCTTGTAGCTTGATGTCTGGTTTTCTTGGCACAGAATTGTTAGCTTCATGATCACGTTTTGCTTAATGACTGGTTAGCTTAGCTTGTAGCTTGATGTCTGGTTTTCTTGGCACAGATTAATTGTTAGCTTCCTGATCATGTTTGCTGTTGCAGATTCATTCAGACTCAAGAAATAGTCATTCTAAGGAGATAAGGTGGTTGGCATTTGGACCAAGAAATGTTGCTTTAGCACATAAATGATTTATCGTTAATGGGCAACGGTTTCATACAGATTCGGTTAAGCGGAAGACACAAAACAGTGGCATAACTTATGAAGCATTTAGCATGTGTAGATCAAGTGCTCGAGATATGAGACAAGTCGCTAATGTGCTTACATATTATGGAGTGATAAAGGAGATTTTACTTATGGACTATGACATGTTCAAAGTGCCGCTGTTTAGATGCAATTGGGCCAACACAGGGAATGGTGTGAAGGAGGAAGATGGTTTCACTCTTGTTAACCTTCATATGAACCAAGCAGCCTATTTGAAAGATCCATTCATTCTACCTTCTCAAGCAAAACAGGTTTTCTATTCTAGGGAAGATGATAATTCAAATTGGTATGTTGTTATGAGAGCACCACCTAGAGGCTATCATGAATTGGATGATGAAGCTTTTGATGATGATAGTGTTTATGTTAGGGATGATTGTGAAGGCTTGTTAGTGGTAGATTGATAGGTATGTTTGTGGTTTTTGTAAACAATGAAAATTGAAATGGGTTATTAAACATTTTAATGGTATTTTTGTTTTTACAGATATTCGAAATTAATTTTTTTTACAAATATTATAT